AGCGGCGATCTGTGCGTTCGTGGCTGTGAATGGGACCACGTCAGCTGACAATGCGCGCGCAGCACGTGATATTCCGGTATACGCAGTTCTGCAGGATGCACAATGAATTTCATAATCACGTCTGCTCGTAGCGAGAACGCGGAGGAACAGTAGTCACTGTACCTTTCGCTCTTTTCGTATAAATTTAACACCAAGGAATATGTTGGCGGTCAGTTCGTAATGGCTAAACAGCGTGCTCTTCCCAATCATAATAAACCTACCGTTTAGACCCCCCTCCCCCATATCAGAGCAAGCAGTGAGGCACCGACGCTGCTGCACCAGAACTCTTCAAAAATATGCATCCACTATCCGGGGAACAGGTGAAGGAACTCCAGTAACTACTCGATCAATTCTCAAGGAAGGAGCGCCAAATAAAAACATCAGCTGCTGCATCCGTTTGCAAAGATGGAGAACAAGTAGGAGGGAGTTGCAAACGCTTTTGGGTATGCAGTCGTATATACGGAATGCAGAGTTCGGCGCGAGTGGTGTTCAACGTCTGGTACGCGAACGGAAAACCAACCGGATGCAGGTGAAAAGGCCGGTATTGTTTACCAGATTCTATGCAACAACTGCCCTCGGTATCATACTAGCTGGACCACACGAAGACTTAGCCTACGAACATGTGACCAAAAGGAGCGGGTCCGGGAGGACATTTCGCCGTCCACGCTAATTAGAATTCGCGAACACACATATATCGGCACGCGCAGCTATTAAGACAGAGTGACAACTGCTAGATATTTGGGTTCTGCGAAAAAATCTGTAAATCGGCGTAGTAGAGTTACGCTGCATTCACTACTAGAAACGCACGCTGTCGAGGGGCGATAGGAGACCACAAAATGCTGCACAACTGCTACCGCAGTAAGGATCTAAAAGCCCAGATGAATAGTCGTTTTCTTTGCAAGAAGAACATGAAACTTTTACATACGCTTGCACGGCCAAGAAAGCTTCGGCTGGAAGGCAGTAATGTATAAATGTATAAATATAAAGGCGATGAAGTATATGGTGCAACGGATCAGAAGACTGTCATTTCTGCAGCGACGAAACAATTACTGTTATTGTTTTTGCTGTTGTTTACAGGCATCTTCCGAGTC